CCGGCAAAGAAAAGTCATCCTGGAACAAGTTTTGCTTTTTTTGGAGCAAAAGCTTGTCCAGAATAGATGAAAACCTGAGCAGAGAAGCCCAGCAGGACTCAGGCAACGATGCTCTCCCAGTTCAAGGAGGAGCAGAGCAATAACAGGAAGATTTCTTTGCATCGTTCCCCTTGTTTAGCAAACACATCTCCAAATACCAGCAATAACTGTTATCTGGCAGGAGCACTTCTCTAAAGTTTTCATCAAAAATACTCTTCCAGAACGGTGTTTGTTTTCAAAATACAGCTCTGTGTGGCTGGCTGCACCTTCTCCCTCGGCTAGAGCGAGATAAAAGGGCAGATCGCTTGACTGAGTAACTCGGATCTCTTCTCAAGGGAAGCGGCACATGGACGCGAAGAAAGGCAACGGAAACAGGTTTGGAGTTGTTAGCCTTGTGCTTTCTCTGTTCAGTGTGCGCTGCAAGGTGAGGAGACAGGTCTGTCTGCTGGGGGGAACTCCAGGTAGTGAGAAAACACCCAGTGTACCTCCCCGCAGCCAGAGGTAAGAGGTTTGGGTTGGCACTAGTGGTGTGAAACGCGCCCATGGGGCAGGGAATAGGATTTCTCATCATCCCAGTTCAGTTTCTGAATTGCAGGCGCTCTAGCTTTCCCCTCAGGAGAATTTTTCGCTGTATTGTTCAGTTTTGACAAAAAGGTATATTTTGTTGCAGCTGCATTTTGACTGAAAAACTTGGAGTAGCTCTGGAAAGTGAATGTTACTTAACCAGATTGAAAAAGTAGGATGCTTTCATTCTGCAGATAGGAGCCCCTGTGATGGGCCTGCTTGATGCAAGCCAGCAATGTAATTTAAAATTTTGAAATGTTAAAGGAAAAATGATTTTGCAAATTACCTTCCTTACCCACGTGTTACATTTCTAAAGTGTCACTTGGAATATCTCAACATTTTCAAAATAGTTTTTGCTTAAGTGGAAGTGTCATCAAGAAATGCAGGCTTCCTGAAGAAGTTTCAGTTTCAGTGAAATAATATTGTCTGATCTTACCCCATCCTGCTGCTCTGTTTCAGAACAAGAGGTATGTTAGGAAGGAGCACAGGGGCCTGTTGCGCTGTCCCTGATGTGGGCATCTGTACCAGTGTGAATGCAATATAAACCGTGGTCTCAGGGTTGTGGTTGATCAGGTCCATAGCTGAAAACAAATCAACCAGCACCATGGGAAAGTGCTTTTCTGTTTGATTTTTCAGAGGCTATTTTCCTTTATTTATTTATTTATCCATGCAATCCACATGAGCCCTGGATCTAAGCAGGGCACATTATGTACATGACTGCAACACTTCATGGCTGCCTGCTCTCCTGCCTTAGCTCTCCTGGTGCAATGGAGGACACATCAACCCAGAAATCTGGACAGAGCAAAGATGCACTGGGCTCCCTAACGCCAGAAGAGACTCCTGCTAATTTTATACATGTCACATTGGAGGAGTATGAGCCTGCAGACTTCAGCATCAAGGAACTCCTCCTAAAGAAAGCCAGAGAAATCTGCACATGTAATCATCAAACCATCATCACCTTCTTCTGTCAGCTGTTCCCAGTGCTGGACTGGCTTCCCTGTTACAACGTCAAGACGCAGTTGCTTGGGGATATCATATCTGGGCTCCTGGTGGGGATAGTTGCCATCCCTCAGTCCATCTCCTACTCTCTCTTAGCCAACCAGGATCCCATCTACGGAATCTACACCAACTTCTTCTGCAATATCATCTATGTTGCTATGGCCACTTCGCGCCATAACTTCGTGGGTTCTTTCGGCATCCTGTGCCTGATGATTGGGCAGTCTGTGAACCGGCACCTCCAGCTCGCAGGGTACAGTGACGACAATGCTGGCCCTTCGCTGGTGGGCAACTCCTCTTCCTCCTCCAGCAATGGGACGGGTGCCTGTGACAGGAGCTGCTACGCCATCACTGTGGCCCTTTCCTTAAGTTTTCTGGTCGGTCTTTACCAGGTACAAATGTTTGCTGTTGTGCTGTTTCCTCTCTGTCCTTTCCCTGCTAGGAACTTCTCTGAGCTAAAGACCTCTAAGCTCCAGTCTTGGTTCAGACTTACAAGTCATGAGAAATCTTTCCTGATATGACCAGACCCCGACACCCTTGAATCAAATGTAGTGATCTAGAAATCTGCAAACATGGCTGAATGTGGGCTTTTATTTCCCCCCATATGACAGGCCAGGTCCCTGGATGTGTCTGAAACATCCTTAGGATCAGACACAGCAAGGGAGAAGGAACTGTGAACCACCTTCCCACCACCCCAGTCCTGGAGCTGGGCTGGCTCCTGGCGCAGGTTAGAGCAGGTTTGGGGCTGGCAAGAACAGCCCTCAAGGACCCTGCTGTCAGCAGGGGCTCCTTCAAAGGCAAAGGAAGGCTCCCTGGCAATGTCCCCACTGCCTGGGCCTAGCTGTCACTGAACAACTTCAGGCTCTTTCACTGGGATAACTAAAATTCAGTGCATCACACCGGTTTTATGCCACCGAGTGATACTCGGAGCTGCTTTGATGGGGCTGCTGCCCGGACTTGCAGCGTTAACTGTGTGCCCTTATTGCTTATAAGGAGACAGTGGCAGGGACCTCGTAGGCTTTTTCGTACAGCATCTCTAGCCACAGACGAGCGTTAGATGTAGGTCTCTCTAGTTTTTCATACCCCAGCTTAACTACTGAAGACAAAATCCTCTGCCTCACACTGAACGCTCAGCAGACAGAATAGCCAGAGCTGCTAAAGTGGAAGCAAAGTGACATAAATTGCCAGCCACCTCTTCTAGCCCTTCTCATCGATGCTAAAGGTATGGCTGGCTTGCTTTTCAGATCCTGCTGGGGGTTTTACAGCTGGGCTTTGTGGCTGTCTACCTGTCAGAACCTCTCCTCAGTGGCTTTGTGACCGGCTCCAGCCTCACCATTATCACCTCCCAAATGAAGTATCTCCTGGGACTGAAAATCCCTCGTCACGAAGGGGCGGGGTCCTTCATCCTGACGTGGGTTGACCTTTTCAGATATATCCAGAACACCAACATCTGTGACCTGGTCACCAGCCTGGTTGCTTTGGCCATCATCATGCCTGTCAAAGAGATCAATGACCGGTATAAGGAGAAGATGAAGGCCCCGTTCCCCATAGAGCTGCTGGTGGTCATTGTAGCCACAGTAACCTCTTACTACTTTAACTTCGAAGAGCGATACAAGTCTGCTGTTTGTGGGGATATCCCCACTGGTTTCAGGAAACCCACTCTCCCGGATATAAACCTGTTTTCCAGCCTGGCAGTTGATGCTCTGCCCATTGCTGTTATTGGCTTTGCCATGACTGTCTCCCTGGCGGAAATCTTTGGCAAAAAGCATGGCTATGCTGTCCGTGCCAACCAGGAGATGATTGCCATTGGCATGTGCAACCTGATCCCTTCTTTCTTCTACTGCTTTGCCAGCTCTGCAGCCCTGACCAAGACTCTGCTGAAGGAGTCCACGGGGACCCAGACCCAGGTCTCTGGCCTGGTCACCTCCCTGGTGCTGCTGCTAGTGCTGCTGTGGATCGCCCCCCTCTTCTACTCGCTGCAGACCTCCATTTTGGGAGTGGTCACCATTGTCAACCTGCGGGGGGGCCTGAGGAAGTTCCATGACACCCCCCGCATGTGGCAGCTCAGCAAGCTGGACACGGTGGTGTGGTGGACAACCATGCTGTCCTCCACGCTGATCACCACGGAGATTGGGCTCCTCGTGGGTGTCTGCTTCGCTCTGCTTTGTATCATCTTCCGCACGCAGAGACCCAGGGCCACGCTCCTGGGCAAGGTCAGCAACACGGAAATCTATGAGGACCAGTCCACGTACAAGCAACTCAGCAGTATTGCCAACATCAAAATCTTCCGCTTCGAGTCATCCCTCTACTATGCCAACAAGGACTATTTCAAGACTGTTCTCTACCAGAAAACTGGGGTAAATCCTATCCTGCTGGCTGCTAAGCACCAAAGGGTGGAGGCCCGGGCAAATGCAGACACAGGCAACAGCAAGAGCTTTTTTGGCACCAGGTTTGACTGCCTGAAACAAGCCAAGAAGAGAGCTGAGAAGCCTCCAGCAGATGCCTGTCCTCCCTCCACAGATATGCACACCTTGATCCTTGACTGTACGGCAATGCAGTTTATGGATACTGTGGGTCTTTCTGTGCTAAAGGAGACACATCATGACTATAAGGAGATTGGCATCCAGGTGCTCCTGGCCAACTGCAACCCTTCCATCCGCCACCTGCTCCGTGAGGGAGGCTGGGCTGGCGAGGCAGACAGCAGTGGTCAGCTGGCTTTCCACAGCGTCCACGATGCCGTGCAGTTTGCTGAACGGTGGTACCACGTGCAGCAGGAGGAGAGCATTTTCTGTCCTGGACCCCGAAGGCCTGAACTTCCAGGCGTCTTTGTAGACCTGTGTGTGGGGAATGATTTCTCGTGGGGATGGGTTTGGTATGTACTTGAGAGCAGTTTTAGGCTTTGTGCAGTCAGGGCGTGCAAACAAGACTTTGAAGACCTGTCAGCAGCAGGCATGGGGCAAAAGGATTGGGGAAGGTGTGGATTTCAGGAGAGATTGCCAAGAGGTAAATAATCTGAGAGGCACTTCAAGGTCTGTCATGTGGGTGAAGAGCCTGGATGGCTTTTAACCCTTCTCCTGTTTGGAAGGGGCTGTGACGGCAAGAGATGCCGTGCCAGGAGATGGGACGCCAGGCTTCCACCAGCA